CTGTCCACTGTTCGTTGCGTTCCTGGCTGTATGCCGCCGCGAAGGTCATCAACTGAGCTCCCGGGAGGGTCACCCCCCCCCGGCTCTCAGGACCATTCGGGAAGCAGCAGATCTGCAACGCTGTCTTGGGGAACTTGTCCACCGTCTGCCTCATTGGAAGTCCTGCCAGGTAGATGCCACCACCCTTCCGGGATGTCCAGATGCAAGTCGGGGCCTGGGCTGTCCCTGAGCCCACACCCAACCGCTCCAAGTGGAGGTCCAAGGTGTCTCCTGCTGCCTTGCCATGGCCTTTCTTTGGCATGGCCTTGATCTGTGGCTTCCCAGGAGCGGCCAAGCGCTTCGGCGTTGTGGTTGTAGCCCTGGACTTAGCAGCTGTGACCGGTGGCTTAGGTGTAGTGGCTGCAGCCTTCGGAGGTGTCTTGGGGGCTGCAATGGCTGGCGCCTTGGGCGGAGTCTTGGGTGCAGCCTGACCTCGGGCTTTCTTGACAGCTGCGCGCATCACCTCGGCCATCTCGTCGTCAGTGGCACCGCTCGCCGCGGTCCTCTTCCGGCCAAAAGTGGCCTTCTCCCCCACGGCTGCCGGCACCAAGGTGGCCGATGGCTTGGGTGCCGCTGGCACTGCTGTTGCGGCCAACACCGCCCGCTTGATGTTGCAGACGCCTGCACCGTGCTTGCCACCACATGCCCGTCCTGACTTTTGTAGAATGGCACACAAGTGCACTCCGAAGGGGCAGGAGTCTGCCGGATTCGGGCACTCGTCCGTCTGGAACTCCGGGCAAATGGCCTTACCATTCTTCAAAGTGGCCGTCAGCACCTTGCCATTGAGTTGATCAGGCATCTGAGGTGCCGGTGCGGCTACGGCCTCTTGCCGGGCTTGCTGTGCCGCTTCAACAAACTGCTGTGACAACTTGAGCCTCTTCTTCACGTCCTGGAAGCTGTGCGCAGAGGCCCAAATAGGTTGGCGGTCTTGTCGCAGCAACCTGTCAGCTTCAGTAAGGCCATGAGCTCGGGCTGCATCTAGCTCTGCCTGCGGGATCACCTCCCACAGCAGGTTGCTAGCGAGCTTGGCCGTAGCGCCCCAGATCAGGGATTTCACCTTGACTGACGCGGCGTATTTTGCCGAAGAATAGTGAAATGCCATCGCCCCCACCTCTGGTTGCTCACTCTTGTTTTGCCAGTCGCCCAGGGCTGCCATTTCTTCAGGCCTGCATCCTAACAACTGGGCCACCGTGGGTGCAAGCCTCCTCCAGCTGTAGGTGGTCAGATCTTCTGGATTGTCGAGGAACACGGACATTTCCTGTTGCATCGTCTCTTGCACTTCTAGGATCGTCCATGGGCGCCCTTCGTCTGAAAAACAAAGGCCTGCAAGTCTCTGCCTTGCTGGTGCCAGCGTCCTGTATGCCTCCAGCACTTCCTTGGCCCAAAAGAAGCCGTTGGCGAATGTGGCCGGCACCGCAAAGTCGAAACCTTCGCGGGCATGCTTTTGTTTTCCCTTAGGGCACCTGCAATGGAGGAATGCAGCGGTGAGGCGCCGAGGTTCTGACCGCGCGATGTGCGCATACCTCAAACAGCCAAACGACATGATCCAAGGAGCCAGAAGAACTGACCACCTCTCATCGCCGACCGCGTGCAACTCCGTGATGCGGTCCTCCAAGGCCTGCACTAATGGCGGCTCCACCACCGGTGCTTGCCCACGCTGCCCAGTCGCCCTGGGTGTTGTAGGCACTTGCAAGTTTCCCAGCTCCATGTCTTGGTCGGCATTCTTGTTCATCCATTTCAAGGCTTGGAGTGCTCGTGCTGGCGCCTGGGTGTGGTTGAGGAACTGATCCAGGTCGACCATTCCAGGAGGAGCGGGTCGCCCCCGACTCTCCAAGAAGGCCCTCAGCTCCAACCAGGTGTTGACCACTCGGTCAATGGTCGCCTTCTCCGCGTCCTTCACCTTCTTCTCGGCGATCCTCTTGCACGTTTGTTTCCATTCGGCCTTGAGGGTGTCTGTCAAGATGCCAGCTGGTTTGTATGCGCCCATTCCGACGAACATCGACACCAAGCCGTTCACCCGCTTCTGGACGGCCTCATCCAGGTTCTTGGTGACGTTGACGGCCTTGGGCTTTTTCTTGTAGACTGTCTTGCGCACAGGGCGCAGAGTGACGGAACCCTTAGGGTTGTCCTCCACGACTTTGGCCCCAGCAGCAAGGAGGTGCTCTTCCACCCTTGCTCTTGTCTGCAGCCAGTCATCTGCTACGTGATGGCCAGCTAGTCCAACGACTTGATCGTAGTCGGTGTAGGCATAGGCGAAGTCGTTGTCGTCCAGGAGGCCTTCGTTCTCCCTCCATTGACGCGCACGCTGTGCAGCTATCATCATCAAGGAGTCGGCTGCTCTCCATCCCGGTTCAGGGTCACCCCCTGACGAGGACGAAGCTGCCGCTTGAGCTGCGTAGTAGCCTTTGCCGCCTGATGCCATGGCGCTGCACCCTAACAAGATTGCTAAGGTGCGGAGAGCAAAAAGATGCTGCGGTGACTTCAGAGGTGCCTCCTCTGTCATAAAATCAACCTGCAGCAAACATCTTCTTACGTCCTCCACAAGTGCTGCATGGCTCACGCCAGGTGAAGCAGTCACTACACATCCCGACGCAGCATGCCCAGCACACGCGCCTGGTGGGATCTCCGCACTCTGTGCAGGCGGTGCCCAGCTGGAGCATGCCTGCATCCTGGCATTCCAGCCATCCACATAGCGCTCGAGGTGCCCTGGCGCCTTCTCGCCCCCAGGACACCCAGGGTCGCCCCCTAGGTGCTCTGGGGAAATGCCGCGGCTCGAGGAAGACCGGTAGGAGCTCGTGAGGGCCTGTGCATCTGAGCCAGCTCCTCCATTGATCGAACAGCTCCCCCAAGCCCAGTTGCCCAGCGTCGCCCGCTGAGCACCTGAGCTGCAACCCGTAGAGATCCTGGGGCACGATGTCAGCGGCCACTTTGTGCTTCGTATAGGCAGCGACCAGCAGCAGGTCCATGGGGTCCTGGTGCTGGTAGTAGTACGCCCAAGCATCCGCGGGCGCCACATCATCGGGCAGCACAACGCCACGGCTGTTCCACAAGCCGAGCCACGGGAACTTGAACCCCCCCACATGAGCTGCGCAACGCTGGCAGTCATCAAGGCAACAGGGTATCTTCGGCAGGGGGGGGAAAAGCTCTGAATCTGTCCCAGTCGTGATGACGTAGGGGGAATGCAACACTTCAACGCCATGCATCCAGCATGTGTATGCTGCAGCATCAGAGCCCTCCCGCGCCAGCCTTTCCACGTGGCTCTTGAACTCCAGGAAAGCAGCAGCATGAAGGATCTTCGCCTCAGTGGCTGCCGGGATATCGATTCCTGGGAGTTTGCGCTGCATACAAGGTCGCCCCTTGTATATAATTTGAACCACCCAATCAAGGTCTGGAAAGGTCACCCCTTACCAAGACCAAGAAAGAAAACAGCAATGAATGCTATTTTGGTTCAAGTTTACTTGAGCCAAAATGGCAGCATTCATTGAAACACTTAAAGATGATACATGCACACCCAAGCCTGCCAAACTCAATGCATGGGTATATATACACACACACTGTGTAGAGTGTATATATATATATACACGTATATAGAGAGAGAGAGACAGAGAGATAGAGAGAGGGAGAGAGAGAGAGAGATAGATAGATAGATTAGATTAGATTAGATTGGATTAGATTAGATTAAGATTAAGATTAAGATTAAGATTAGATTCGATTCGATTAGATTAGATTAGATTAAGATTAAGGTTAAGATTAAGATTAGATTAGATTAGATTCGATTCGATTAGATAGATAGATAGATAAGATAAGATAAGATAAGATTAGATTAGATTAGATTAGATAGATAAGATTAGATAGATAGAAAAGATTAGATAGATAGATAAGATTAGAGAGATAGGATTAGAGAGATAGGGCTAGATAGATAGGATTAGATAGATAGATAGATAGATAGATAGACAGATAGATAGATAGAGATAGAGATAGATAGATAGATAGATAGAGATAGATAGATAGAGATAGATAGATAGATAGATAGAGATAGATAGAGATAGATAGAGATAGATAGAGATAGATAGAGATAGATAGAGATAGATAGAGATAGATAGAGATAGATAGAGATAGATAGAGATAGATAGAGATAGATAGAGATAGATACAGATAGATACAGATAGATACAGATAGATAGAGATAGATAGAGATAGATAGAGATAGACAGAGATAGACAGAGATAGACAGAGATAGATAGATAGATAGATAGATTAGATTAGATTAGATTAGATTAGATTAGATAGATAGATAAGATTAGATAGATAGGATTAGAGAGATAGGACTAGATAGATAGGATTAGATAGATAGATAGATAGATAGAGATAGATAGGTAGATAGATAGATAGATAGAGATAGATAGATAGATAGTTAGTTAGTTAGTTAGATAGATAGATAGATGGATAGTTAGATAGATAGATAGATAGTTAGTTAGATAGATAGATAGATAGATGGATAGGTAGATAGATAGGTAGATAGATAGATAGACAGACAGATAGATAGATAGAAACTATGTTCTAGTCTAGTTAATTATATATAGTACGTTGACGCCACGCACTAAGCAGCTATCACCAAACAGCAAACAAGGCCGTTTGCCCGATCCAAAAGATTTCCTGGCTGACAGTTTTACAAAGGTCTCTCGTGATTGGCTTATTTCTACCAATCAAACCCTCCAGTCGTCCCAATTGTCTGCAACAGGATTCATTGACAATGTTGCAGATTGATGATAGCAGAATATGTCTTCTTTCTTGAATCTCATGGGAGCTACGAATGTGTTGCTTATCCTATGACAACAACGCCAGATTGCACAACATGAAGCCACCTCCAAACCAATTTCCGAAAAAATGGTGCACACAATCAGCCTTCATTCTGGAAGATCTTCCCTCAGCCCAAGAAATCCCCCCTTTCAAGGCCCAAACTTGTAGCGGAAGCCCGTAGGCATGGCATGATCCACAATCTGCCAGCAACACCGCAACACCCTCTGAAAGTGGGACAAGTTGTGATGCCAATGGATGCCAATGTTGAGTATCCCCAACACCCTCCATTTGACTAATATGATAATATGTATATGTGGAAAACCATAATGTGTAGATCAGTTTAGTTGGGAAGCCATGGACTTTCCATATCTATGTTAGTTTGCCCTGAAAGATGTCAAATCCACTGATAAGCCCCCAATTCTCTGTGGGGGCTAGTTTTCAAATCATCCCGATATCTACCTAGTAAATCCCCTTGAAATAGAGGCTTTAATGGGAAAACCAGCTATAAATGTTGGATTATCGCCACGTGGGGGGCGATAATTCCTGGATTCCTGGATCCCCTCATCACACTCAGCGCCATAGGCGCATAGCACCTGCCCATTATGTGTGGGAACTCCTCCCAAGCAGCCCATGGCCTGAAAGTCGAGCTTGGAAGTGGCGATTTTACAATGGGAATAAACCATTTTTAGGTGATTCATCAACCATGTTCGATAAGCATTCATCTTTTTCTCGGATTATTGCCCCGTCTAGTCCGCCAACCACGGTGCAATTTGGTCGGTGAACATAGCCTTGACTGAACAAGTTGCTAATTCACAAAAAGCACCGTTGATGAATTGTCGGCCGGTACATTCTTTCTTGTACCATTTCGCGGGGTCACAAATCCACTCCTTTCGCAGCGTTAGCAGAATTGTAGAAACAAGCCTCATATTTATCCAGTCGTATTCTTCTCGATGTCCTAATTTCTGTCTGCCTTCCAAGCCCAAAAATATCCCGCAGTTGGCCCTTGACCATAGGTCCAGTTTCCCAGATACCCTGACTGGCATATGGCCTCACACAAACTCTATTTAAAAAAAAAAATAAGTTTGAGGTGGATGAAAATCCCCTTAAATATGGCAATTTCATAGGTTTTGACCCGCATACATCCTCCAGTTATAAGTTCTTCTCAGTTCTTCTCCAGTGACCTGTGTGGGAGAGGGTAAACGACTCAGCCACGCACACAGATCCAACTCAGCGGCGCACACAGCCAAAACTCAGCCACGCACACAGATCCAACTCAGCCACGCACACAGATCCGACTCAGCCACGCACACAGGTCTAACTCATTCACGCACACAGATACAACTCATCTGCGCACACAAAACGGACTCAGCCATACACACACATAGGCCTGAGCCACACACTAGCCAGTTAGACACCCTGCAGCATTGCCGCTTGCACTGCACCTTCATCGCCTGTCATCTGCCCATGTGCACCCTGAACATAGTCTTGGGTGTATGGCTGAGTCAACTTTCGCGTGTACGGCTGAGTCACTAACCGTGGGAGACCCAGCATCGCAGCCCAGGCACACACTTGGGAGAGTCCGCATCACCATCCGGCGTGTCCTTCATGTCGAACAGCTCGATCGCCAACTGGATCCGAGATCAAGTTGTGTCCATCGATGTTCATGGTGGAAAAAGGTCATGGCCTGGAAATCGATGAGATGTTTTTGCCCTTGGTCTCCACTATTCAATATCCATTCTATATCTAATCCTGATTTGGGATTCAAATGGCTTTTCCCTAAGAGGCGACTCACTGATTTTTTTTCGCGCACGCGAGCACGGCCCAGGTAAGCTGCTGCTCACCCAATGGCCTTTTCGAGGGTCTAATGCTGCGTGAAATGATCAAAAAATGATCAAAACTCCGCTTAGTCTCAAGGTTGACATGGGGCAAAATTCACTATATAAGAGATACTCAAAATATCTAAAAATTAAGTCACAGTCTATGTAAGTCTTGATCATTTCATCAACTCCTACTGGTCCTACTGGTCCTACTGGCCCCTACTCACCGAACTTATGTGATCTGACGAGTTCCAGCTGTTCTTGGAAGGCTTTCGTAAGTTCCTTGGGGCGCCATGGAAGCATCACCAGCCGACCTTCCACACCACCAATCCGACACTAACAAGATATAAACCGTTTAAACCCTTGCTTCAGTAGCCGAAAGGGTGGTGATTACTGGACGTGTCCTTACAAATCTGACAATGTGAAAGTTCATCTTTCACGGGACGATTTTTACGCGAAATCCATGAACTTCATGAAACCAAGTCTTAGATCAGAAACATCAGCCACTGAGGGCTGCGCAATGGTCTGCGTGATGTTGCAGTTTTTGGCCACCCAGTCGCGATCCTCGGGTCTCACTAAAAACTGACTGAGAACATCAGCTGAAACGCTGCAGGGTGCCTGAGTCGCAGTGTAAATGTAGGACTTCCAGCCCATGTCTTCATTGGTGAGGTCCTGGTCCCGAAACAGAAATGGAGGGAAAAGAACAGGGTGGAAAAAATGTATCAAAAATTGGAGCTGGAAGAACGGGCTCAAAGAATTTGAGGCGCCAAAGTTTGGTGTGGGATGATTTCTTGTGCGAAAATGTGGGCTCCTCTCTGGCCCGCAAATATCATGTGGCACGCTGGCTTTGGACCTGTGGCTCCCGATCTTGAAATCTCAGTCCTGATCCACGAGCACCTTGCCTTGGCTACGAGTCGCCCCAAAGGAATTGTGGGACAAAAAAATGGGATGTACCTCCAATTTATTGTCTTTTTAGTAGGGGAAAATGATGATGAAGCAACAGATTTCGGGGTGACCCCTATTTTCCGACACACCTACCTACTGGGCCCATCAACCAGATCAGCATTGCCCAATTATCCCCATACCGGTCAACTGACATAGACATTGAAATTCAATGAAATCCATGGCTTTTCTGAGTGAGCTACTTTCATGGTGATACGGTTTTTTCCATTTTTTTCCCCATCTGTATCTTAGTCCAATTATGTCCAATTACTCGTTGACTGAGTTGACTTAGTCGGTTTTGAAGAGTACCGGATTTTCCAACCCCTTGGAGCTGTTGCCATATCGCTCTGCCGTCTTCAGGTCCTCGGCAGTGAGCACGTCCCATTTCACAGGGTCCTGATGGCAGCGTTGAAGGGTTTACCTGCGCTTCAACTAACAAAGACGTTGCCAGTTGTGGGGGTTGCAAGACTGCTTTCCCAACTTGATTCTCATGGTCTATGCTGATTTAGGGAAGATGGTGACCATCCAAGAATCAAGGTAGCTTTGCACCCAACATCAGCAAAGGTTTTTGACATGAAAGATGTTGCATTCTATGACTGGTCATTCTCAGGAGGGAGGCTTTGGGACCCCAATTCGATTTTGACCCATGCCCATTTGTAAGCTGGGAGATCCTCAGCAAAAATGGCGCCAGTTGCAAACGGCAGCCTTCCCTGAATTCCAACCATTTTTGTGTACATGAAAACCTTCACGCTGCCGTGATGAAATATTCCAAGGGGTTGGCCATGATGGTCACGGTGCCTCTTTCTCAGAAAAAACAGCAGGGCTTGGAAACCCAGAGCTGCTGAAAACATACTCCTTACCTATATAATCTGTGGGGGAAAAAAATGTTGCCAAATTGCTCCGCCTCAATTAACCCCATCTTGAAATGGGAATTTCGATACCAGAAGACCAAGGAATTTCCGTCGCACTCCTCTGTCCAGCGAACCATATCCTTCTTTTCTCCAAATGGATTGGGCCTCGGCAATGGCAGCAGGTGCCCCCCAAAAACGACCATCACCTGCGGCCAAACTGGGAAGAAGAGGTATCCTGGACCTTCCTATGCCATGCTCAGTCTGTGGCTGAATCTTGGTCATCTCATCCATTAGGTAGAAGCGAGTCCTGGGAGAGGGGCATCCGCACCACCAAGGACTGACGAATAGCAGCAAGGGCTATTTAACCTGCAAAGATGAGGACCGATGTCCATCTCTCTGTAGATCTTGTGTTAGTCATTGTATGATATGATGTATATGATTTGTTATGATTGGTTATGATTGTACAGTTGTACATGTATCTTCTGTTGCTGCATGCATCACTCGCATGACTTTGAGCGATTGTGTTGCGTCACATTTTGCCATGAGGATCCCAAGGGAGAGAAACTTGGCACAACCTTCACCCTACGTCTTTCAATCGTCTTTCCAAGTAAACCCGACCATCAACTGGTGGCTTCTGGTTGATCTTGGGTACATCTAGGTGCAAACACCAAGCTGGCAAGAAAATGCTACGCTGCTACTGGCTGCTACACCCTGGATACAGGAGCTACTCACTCCGTGTCCTGAGGATGGGTTCTCTTTCCCAAGACCTGGGTGCTGTGTTCATCCGACCCCATGGGGAACTCGTCACCTTCCGGGGCTGTTCACCAATGATCCAGGGTCAAATGTGTTCACCTGTTCTTGTTGGTAAATTCCCCTGGTTTCTTGGGTGGTATCCCAGTTTCATGAAATTTATATAATCCATCTGAATCTCCTGGGGTTTTTCTGTTGTTTCTTCAATACACTCTGGACTTGTCTGGTAATCAATAAACATCAAAAACATGGCAAGAAAACTAGGGAGACGTTCTACTTTCATGTTTGGTTTCCCCATTTCTGACCAGAAATTGGAGCCCCTTCCCCCATTTCTGGGCCAACCCATCTGTTGAGTCAGTCATCATCCCAGCATCGCCCTCCTTTTATATCCCCCAGTTGAGGAAACCCTGAGGAAAGCCATGGGAATTTTGGGGCTTGATCCGAGTTGATCAACTCGTTGATCCTCATGGTTTCATGGTCACCCCACCACTGAGTGGTTATTTCGCTGGGTGTCCCCCACTTTTTCTGCAGCTCCCTGATCCAAGGGATCTCGGAGGGTGCCGGCCTGGACGGAGGGTTTTCAAAAGGCCTTCATCAAGTGGTGTCAGGAAAAAAAACCTCTGGTTTTCTCGAAAAAAATATATTGCAAAATTGAGAAAATCGATCTTGAAAAGCTGGAAAATGATGACTGACAAAATACCTCAGTCTGGGAACTGCTCTTTTAAAGCATGGGATTTAAGTGAAAAATTGGATTGGACTCATCCACCAACCATCCACCAATCATCCCTAAATCTAACCTAGCTACACTTCCCCTAAAATGGCATCCGAATGAACAAATCCAATATCATTTGTATAACACGATTGAAGTCAGCTGTCCCTTGAACCCATTCTGTTTTGTTCAAAAGCGAGATGAACCAGAGATCTATTCAATCTATTCCTGACTTGTCCGCCCCTTTTTGAATGGCCACAAATTGAGATATCCACCATTCTTTCAAGAACCCATGGCGGTTATATATATATATACATGTTCAGTAGTATATGTTTTAGAAAGTTACACTGATATCATACGATACAGTATCTCCATATCAAAAAAAAACAAGTTTTCTCCCCTTCTCGTTGCTTATATAGACATTTTGGGGAAGCCATCCACCTTTTCTGTCTCCAAGCTGCGGATAGTTGGGATCCAGATCAGGCAGCGGGTCTCCTGCCTTGATGTACCTGACAGCCATATGATGGGGGCAACCCTGGTACGGTGGTGAGTTTCAAGCTAGTGCTTATGGACGTTCATTTCATCATCAACCCATTTCACCATCTATCAACCCGATGGTCCAATTCTTTTGCAGGAGCCATTCCCACATCAGATATACATCCGTTTTCTCTCAACTTCGCTGTCCGTCTGTGTCTCACTGCTCCAATGAAGCAGCCTGAATATAAATATCCTTCGGACAGATAAAGCTTTGACCGGATGGTAGTTAGTTTGCACAAAAACATGGAATAGTTTGTCGTTGTTTGGGCAATTGCGTAATAAGAAGGGTTGCTTGATGTTGGAGTTAAACGTGACACAAAAAGTGTTTATTGTTGTGAACCAAACGATAGATCCAATTCAGAAAAGAAAAAGATAGGTGTGATTGATTGGCTTTCCATATATGTTTGCCATCCAATCTTTAGCCTGACACCATCAATGGCCGGCATCGTCAGTTCCAGGATGTATGGTCCGCGTCGAAGCGCAGCCACACCACTGGAATCGATCTGCTAAAATGCCTTCCGGGATCGATACCCTGGAGGGAAAACAGAAATCTGGAGACTGGCGCGGAAAGTTGTGATGAAAGGGTTTCAAATGGCCCATGTTTCAAACTTTGAGCCGACCCCTCTCCAGTTCCTCAAAGAGTCCAAAATGTCAAGCTGTCAAGCAGTTTGAGGGACTTGTTCCAAATTAAAATTTTTGGTAATCCACCATGTTTTTTAGCTTGCTTACAGGGTCTCTCACGCTTTAAATCGATCAGTAGACGTCCACAAGGTGTCTCCAATAAAGGTACAGAGTTCGCTGAGGACACTTCGGATCTGAGTAAACCTCGGCAAGCCAGCGTCGTCCACCATCCATCAGCTAAAGTCAGCAGATTCACATGTTATTCATGTTAAACCATTGCAAACCGCTCTAATGCCCCCAAAGACCCAATTGGCTTGGGGGCATAGCAGCATGGCACATCCGCCAGTGACCATACCAAATCCATCTCCGCCAAAGGACTCTTCTCCGATGTATTTGCGAAGTTCCACAATGTCTTTGACAGTTGCTTTATTGGAACCCCGTAGAGTGAGCATTGCATGCATGAACTCCACGAAAGAGACCTGGTGTTTCGCACCCGCGACGCTGAAATCCGGCAAAATCAGCTCCATGGTTTGCGGGTTATTATGCACCATTTAGTTCGATGATCCTCCCATATGCATATATCTATATATATATATAATCACATATATGCATATAATCATATATATATATGTAATCATATATATATATTATATATATAATCATATATATATATAATTAGAGAGAGAGAGAGAGGGAGGGAGGGAGGGAGGGAGGGGGAGAGAGAGAGAGAGAGAGAGAGAAATTGATTGGGAGTTTTCAGTGCAGGGGCAAAGGGGGCCGAAACGTGGGTTTCCGACGTTGCGCTGTGACGCTCCCGGGGGCGGGTGGCGCTGCAACGCTGCGACGCTGCGACGCTCTGGGGGGCGGGTGGCGCTGCGACGCTGCGACGCTGCGACGCTGCCAGGGGCCAGCGACGCTGTGACGCTGCGACGCTGCGCTGCGACGCTGCGACGCTGCCGTTGGGCCAGTGACGCTGCGACGCTGTTGGCGCTGCGACGCTGCGACGCTGCGACGCTGCGACGCGGGAGCGACGCTGCGACGCTGTTGGCGCTGCGACGCTTCCTTCTGCAAGAGTGCACACGGCGTTGCTTCGCGGCGCGACACGCTAGATGTATATAGCACATGATGCAATGCCTTGCATCAGCGATTTGTGAAGATTGTCAATGAATGTAGAAGTTTAACGGGGCTGGGGAGAATTAAACCCTCATTGAAGATCTTCAATGAATGTAGAAGTTTAACGGGGCTGGGGAGAATTAAACCCTTGTTGAAGATCTTCAATGAATGTAGAAGTTTAACGGGGCTGGGAGAATTACACCCTCATTGAAGATCTTCGATGAATGTAGAAGTTTAACGGGGCTGGGAGAACTAAACCCTCATTGAAGATCTTCAATGAATGTAGAAGTTTAACGGGGCTGGGGAGAATTAAACCCTCATTGAAGATCTTCGATGAATATAGAAGTTTCACGGGGCTGGGAGAATTAAACCCTCATTGAAGATCTTCGATGAATGTAGAAGTTTAACGGGGCTGGGGAGAATTAAACCCTTATTGAAGATCTTCAATGAATGTAGAAGTTTAACGGGGCTGGGGAGAATTAAACCCTTATGGAAGATCTTCAATGAATGTAGAAGTTTAACGGGGCTGGGGAGAATTAAACCCTCATTGAAGATCTTCAATGAATGTAGAAGTTTAACGGGGCTGGGGAGAATTAAACCTTATTGCTGCAGATCTTCAGTGAATGTAGAAGTTTCACTGGGCTGGGAGAATTAAACCCTCATTGAAGATCTTCGATGAATGTAGAAGTTTAACAGGGCTGAAAGAACTAAACCCTTATTGACGATCTTCGATGAGTGTAGAAGTTTAACGGGGCGAGGTAGTGTTCAGAGGGGGTCGCTGGGTTGATCTTCGAAGATGTAACATATATTCAAAGGGGGTCGCGGGGCTGATGTCTCAAAGTGCAACGCATTGTTCACAGGGGGTTGGGGCGTTGATGTCTTGTGATGGTGAAGATGCAACATAATGTTCAGAGGGGGTGCCAGGGCTACTGTCTCAGCTGCCAGGGCTACTGTCTCAGCTTGTCCGGTGGCTTCTCGGCTTCTCGGCTTCTCGGCTTGTCCGGTGGCTTCTCGGCTTCTCGGCTTGCCCGGCGGCTCCGGTGGCTTCTCGCCTTCTCGGCTTCTCGGCTTGCCCGGCGGCTCCTCGGCTTCGCGGCTTCTCGGCTTCTCGGCTTGCCCGGCGGCCCCTCGGCTTCGCGGCTTCTCGGCTTCTCGGCTTCTCGCCGTGTCCGGTGGCTTCGCGGCTTCTCGGCTTCTCGGCTTCTCGGTCGGCTTGTCCGGTGGCTTCTCGGCTTCTCGGCTTGTCAGGTGGCTTTTCGGCTTCGCGGCTTCTCGGCTTCTCGGCTTGTGTCGTACTTCGCGGCTTCGCGGCTTCTCGGCTTCTCGGCTTCTCGGCTTGTGTCGGGCTTCTCGGCTTCTCGGCTTCTCGGCTTCTCGGCTTCTGGTCGCATTTCTGGGCCCTTTTTGCCCGTGCTTTGGGAATTTTCCAACTAGGGGCTTTGATGCATGGATTTCCCTAGGTGAAGTTGATATGCGGGTGTTCACGGACGATTCGCACATTGCCAGGGGCACGAAACATCTTCAAGTCATCTCCAAACATTTCCAGAGTTTTGAGCACAGCCTGATGAAAACGGGGTGTGCCCGTAAAATTGCTATTTCAAAGGGAAACTAATGACTGACCAGTGGAATGAGGGGCACCTTCATTTTAAGAACCCAAGTATGACCCCAAGATCCGGGTCGATCGCCCCAATTGTGTTTAGCGGCCGATTCATCATCTTCAAACAGCATTCTGCCATAGTCCAGAGCAGCCCCGGCATCAACGCCAAGTTTGAGAAGTGCTGTCCTTGGTTGAAACATCTGCACCATCCCCAGTTGGGTCGGATTTCAATTGGGCATACCATGACATACCCCCATGACTGGGATGATTTGTAATATTTGTTGTGGCCTCCAAGTGTTTGGTTAATGGGATGGTTTATGGCAATGTGCTTACCACATTAGTAGAACACTGGGAAACAAGTTGTACCAGGTAACAATGTGAAATGTTGCCAGATTTCTGAGCCGGTTGCGAGTAGAATGCCTCGCAACAGGATGTCCATCTCCCATTTCTCTGTCATAATATCACTGAATAATCTACAATCTTGGAAGTTGCTCATCTATATGGCTATGGTTCAAAGTTTGGTATCAATGAAGCTACAGAATTAGTCATGTTTTGTCTCGACCCGTCCATTGTGCGGGGCAAATGAAGTTGAATCATGCTCACTCTTATATGGCCAGTCTTAGATACCTTGCAAACGGGTTGAAAAGTATGTGTATCTGTAGTTATGTTTGTATGTTTGTATGTATGATGTAATGTATGTAATGTATGTTATGTATGTAATGTATGTAATGTATGTAATGTATGCTATTATGTTATGTATGTTATGTATGTTATGTATGTTATGCATATTATGTTATGTCGTGTCATGTCATGTCATGTCCTGCTATGCTTGCTATGCTGTAATATGCTATGCTATGCTATGCTATGGTAAGGTAAGGTAAGGTATGGTATGTATGTATGCATGTATGTATGTATGCATGTGTGTATGTATGTATGTAGGGTCAAGGCTGGGGGTTCCCCGGAGCTTTCAGGAACCCTCAGTCTTGTCATGTACTATAAACGTCGTTATGGTAAGTATAGAGATGGGGGGTTGGGGGGTGGGGGGTGGGGGGGGTGTAATAACGTCATGTGGACTGCGTTGGATTGAGACTTCTTGAAACCTTGAGGATGTTGCTTCGTTGAAGATGTTGTTACGTTGCAAGTATCGTTGTTGTTTACAGAAGGGGGGGTGGGGGGGTGGGGAGGGTGTAACAACGTCATGTGGAGCGCGTTGGATTGAGAGTTGTTGAAACCTTGAGGATGTAGCTTCGTTGAAGCTGTTGTTACTGCGACTGCACCGTGAGAAGACCAATGGTGCTCTCGCGCCAAGCAACTGCTTCAAAAAGCCTATGTGGACGTGAAAATGAAAAAGGTGTGATGTTCATTTCGTCCATGGTTCTCCAGTCAATTATGACATTTTCTAGTTGTCAACAAAACGACCAAAAATGCATGAAACCGCAATTCCAATGGTTTCGATGTTGCACACACGCTTGGCCATCCATGGAAGATGCAAATTTATAATTTTTCTGCGCGGACAAACGTCAAGTTTATCCGCGCCGACATTGCAACTTTTACTGGCCGAACAATTTGAGAGAAGAGCATAAAACACTGAAAAACACTGTGTAAAATCAACATTTGGAATATCCATACAAATAAAATGCAATTGGCTTCCAAGGAAACCCCCGCCTTCACCCTGTATGTATGTATGTAATGTAATGTAATGTAATGTAATGTAATGTAATGTAATGTAATGTAATGTAATGTATGTGTGTGTGTATGTATGTGTGTATGTATGGTATGTATGTTATGTATGTTATGTATGTTATGTATGTATGTTATGTATGCATGGATGTATGCATGCATGCATGCATGCATGGATGTATGTATGTATGTATGGTTGGCAATGTATGGTAATGTAATGTAATATAATGTAATGAAATGTAGTGTAATGTAATGTAATGTCATGTCATGTAATGTAATGTATGTGATGTAAAGCATGTAATGTAATGTAGTGGTAATGTCATGTAATGTATGTCGTACGTACGTACCACGTACGTATGAATGTATGTATGTATGTACGTACGTACGTACGTCTGTCTGTCTGTTTGTCTGTCTGCAGAATATACATATTATGTATATGTATATGTGTATGTCTATTTCTATGTATGTGTATATCTATGTATATGTATGTATCTGTATGTATATGTATGTCTATTGATGTCTACGTATGTCTATGTTTGTCTTTGTATGTCTTTGTATACATCTATCTATGTCTATGTCTGCCTATCTATGTCTATGTCTGCCTATGTCTATCTGCGGTTATCTATGTCTATCTATGTCTATCTATGTCTATCTATGTCTATCTATGTCTATCTATGTCCACCTATGTCTACCTACGGCTATCTATGTCTATCTATGTCTATCTGCGGTTATCTATGTCAATCTATGTCCAGCTATGTCTATCTATGTCTATCTATGCCCATCTATGTGCATCTATGTCTATCTATGTCTATCTATGTCCATCTATGTATATCTATGTCTATCTATCTCTATCTGTATCTATCTATATCTATCTATGTATGGATGTGTGAATATATGGATGTGTGGATGCATGCATGTATGCGTGTATGCATGCAGGGTTTTGTTTTGCTTTGATTTGAGATGTGTTGTTTTGTTTTGTTGTGTTCTGTACTGTAAAGTATAGGTGGATATATGGATACATGGATACATAGATGGATGGATGGATAGATAGATAGATTAGGTAGGTAGGTAGATAGACAGACAGATAGATAGATGTCCATTATATATATATATCATATGTCCCCATTTATGGCCCTTCAAAAAGGTGGAAAGTTCCGTTGAAACCACCAAGACTCACAGCCCTGGGCTTCCGCAGTAGGGATTTGAACTCCTTTTCGGAGATCATCCGCTGCTGATAGTCAACTTCCTGCGCTGTGGCGTTTTCCCTGGAAAATCAATCGGGAGGTTTTCCCATTGTCTATATCCCATGTGTCCATGATCAGAAGTGATCCATGATGTCTATAATGCTAGTGATGATAATAATATTATCATGATATATAGTAATGATAATCTGAATAATGATGATCATCGATAAATATTCTATTCTATCCTAATAATCCCATATCTATCATTCTGATAATATCTATATATGGAGGTGTCCTAAGTCATGGGTGCCCCGAATCATCGAAAATGCACCATGATCTTAGTATGGAAAGCCATGGTGACTCGGGGATCCCCCATTTTCAGACACCTCATTGGATAGTTCTTTGGTGCTTGAATACAGTAAAGAATATATAACCTACAACCATATATAACCGTGTATCACCATGAATAACCATATATATATATATAATGGCCATATACTGTATAAGGATCAACAATAGGGACCCAACTATCTGGATAAGTACAGTTTTTGCCTGTTCGGTGGTTGAGTTTCAACCTCCCTGAAAAATATGAAAGTCATAGGGATGAACGTCATCCCACTTCTATTAAAATAAAAATCATTGAAACCACTAGCCGGCCCATGTGCGTGCTTCAAGCTGTAAATCCTCCCTTGACTTCTTGGATCCTTCCTGGAACGCTGGAGCAGGCTCTTAAGTTCTGCGACAACTGCTCAAACACTAACCTGAAAAGTTCGGCCCGCCATGGGAACGATTTCTCTTCCTAATCATGAGTGCAGTGAGGTCACTACATTTGACCTAGATATATGACATATGACATACTGT